TTCACCTCAACAATTATTTTTTTAAAAATATCTTTTTTTTTTGTTTTTGTATTTTGATAGCTTCCTAGTCCTTTTCATGCATTCTTATGGGAAATAAAATGATAGAGACACCTCACAAGTGTGGGCAGGGAAACGTAAGGAGAAGCTTTACCTGGAGAGTACATTTGAGGCCTGCTGCTTACATTCAAGTCCCCTAAAATGCCCCAAACTTTGTAGTTGGACAATTTCCTTTCCTAGTTCTTCCAGATAATTTAATCATTTTTATCAGGTACAGCCATGGTTATTTTTAATTTGAATATAGATGTCAGAGTTTCCTTGGATAATTTGGTATTCCAATTACAGAGTTTTAATAAACTCCTTTCACATCTCATTTCTCATCTTTGGCCTTCTTCAAACTTGTGGGCCCAGATCTGGTGTCTGACCAGAATTCTGTCCAGGAAAGTGGCTAATCCCTGCCAAACCACATTCTCTTCATATTTACCAACTACTGATGCATGGTCTTGATTTTGATTTCCAGTTCCCACAAATTTGTTCTCTGAATTTGCCTTAATTTCACACTTCAGTTTGTGGATATGGAATTACAATTGTCTTTTACTATAGCTTTAAAATGAAATTTTGGTACTTAATTCCTAGTCTTTTATCTCAATTTAAGTAAAATAATGACAACATTAGTCATGCAAAAATCAGCATCAAAGCTACTTTTGAGTTCTAAGAGCCTTTTATGATGTATTTTGCAAAATCCACTTCCTTTAATCTTCTAACAGGCTGGTGTAGTTATCCTCTCCTCTGGTTACAGGTGAGCAGAGAGCCAACATGAATTCACCCCAGCCCTGTTCACAGGTGTGTCAAGGGGTGAGTCTAATTCCTTTGATTATAGTCTGAACCTGGTGCCTACTTCGAACACAGACTGTGGAAGAAGTGATGCTGCACTAGGTTAGACTTAGATGTTAAGGGTGAAAGTGCCTCCTACTTCTAGGGAAGCCTTTCACCTTGCTGTACATGAGCTCACACTGGAATTTTGAATGTTGAGACACTATGTGTTAAAAGGTGGAGATAGATGATAGAGATAGAGATAGAGATAGAGATAAAGATAGAGATAGATAGAGCTAGAGCTAGAGATGGATAGGAGAAAGAGAAGAGAGAGAGAGATTTATTGATTCAGGAAAGCACAGAGGCAGCTGACAAGTAAGTGAATGAAGACTGGTTGGACTTTCCAGGCTAGGACAGTGACTAGCTGAATGCAGCCATACCAATGACCACATCCAATGACACATAAATGCTCAGACTGCCCACCTAAGACACTTCCATATTTCTGACCTAAACAGCCAAAAGATAAGTAAATTTTGGGGGCCAATATTGTGGTATAGCAGGTAAACTTGCCAACTTTGAGGCTGGCATTCTATATGGGCACTGGTTTGTTTCCTGGCTGCTCCACTTCTGATGCAGTTCCCTGCTGATAGCCTGGGAAAAGCAGTGGAAAATGGCCCAACTGTTTGGGCCCCTGCCACCCATGTGAGAGACCCTGATTAAGCTCCTGGTTCCTGGCTTTGGCCTGTCCCAGTCTTAGCCATTGTGGCCAACTGGGGAGTAAATCAATGGATGGAAAAATCTCTCTCTCTCTCTCTCTTACTCTCTATCTTTGTAATTCCGACTTTCGAATAAAAAGTAAATCTTTTTTTTAAAAAAGTAAATTGTTATGGTCCACTATATTTTGTGTAATTTTCTTCACAGATATTGATAGTTGAATTTTTAACCTAGGTCTATGTAGCTACAATGTGAAAAAATTGAAATTTAAACCCAACTCCATCTGAATTACAAGAATCAGTTTTTGACCATTCATTTTTAAATTTTTAATTTATTATTTATTTGAAAAGCATACATATACACATGTACACACAGAGAGAAAGATCTACCACCCAATTGTTTGCTCTCCAAATGCCCAAAACATTCAGGAATAGGCAGGGCTAAAGCAAGGATCCAGGAACTTAATCTGAGTCTTCCACATGGGTTATGGGACCCAAGTACTTGAGCCATTACTTGCTGCCTCCCAGGGTATATATTAGATGTATTAGCAAGAAGCTGGAACTAGAAGCATAGATAGCACTTGAACCCAGGTGCTCTAATATGGATTGCTGGCATCCCAAGCAGCACATTAATGCTATGCCAAATGCATGCCCTTCAAATTTCTTACATTGCTGCAACACAAGTGCATGAAAGATGCATTGAAATCTTTAATAAATTCTTTTTACTTCATAATAAACTAAACATGAATAGAATACAAGAGAAAATACACTTATCACCCAGTATGGAATAATTCAGACAAATATACGAAAAAAAAGAAAGAAAGAAAAAGAAAGGACAAAGGAAAAAAGGAGAGAGAAACACAAGGCACGGAATTGGTTAGTCCAAGCAGCAACCTCGGTTCTTGTGCCACCACCCTCGCCAGCTATCCTGAGGCTCCCTCTCAAGCAGCGTTGCCAATCTGGCTCTCATAGTATATCTGTGCCTTGCCTAACAAACAGAGCCTGCAACTCCCCTCCATACCTGTGCCAGGGGAGCTGACAAAGTGTGTTCAGCACAATTTTTCTTTACCCAGTCACCTTCTGCACACTCCCATTTGGATCATCTCTCACCTTTGTCCTCCAAATATTTCCCATACAACTGTATCTTGTTCATACATAAAAATGTGCTCAACTTGCTGGCATTAATAAACGATTATTAATTGATATTAATGCTAAAATAATTCTATTAATCTGCATTATTTTGCATACAAGTGCCTGTGTTGTGCTGCAGCTGGTTAAGGAGCAGCCTGCAATGTTGGCATCCTGCATGAGCACTTGTTCATGCCTCTGCTGCACCACTTCCAATCCAGTTCCCTCCGAATGGCTTGGGAAAGCAGTGGGAAATGGTGCAAATGCTTGGGCCCCTGTTACCCATGTGAGAGACAAAATCAATCTCCAAGCTTCTGGTTTCAGCCTGGCTAAGCCCTGGCTCAGCCCTGGCTATTGCCAAGGCTACTTGGGGAGTGAAAAAGTGGAAGAAAGAACTCTCCTGACTCTCCCTATCTCTGAATTAAAAAAATAAATAAATAAATCTTTAAAATATTTATCATTCATTTTTAATGACTTCTGTGTTTGAAGAACTTCTGTGTACATAATGTCATAAGCAGCAGAAGATCTTTATTCAGAGCGAGACAATGTTGAAATAAATGAAGAATTGCATCAAATTCCTAAAAGCAATGCTTTCTGGTTAGGGAGAACCAGGAAGAAATGAAAAAGGATGACATTTCCAAACGTATGATATAACAGTGGGATTTTTTTAGGTGTTTCAATAAAGCCCTTCATTCCAACAATGGAGACACAGGAGAAAGGAGAGAGACAGAATATTCATGCAGGACAGACAAACTACGCCATCCCAATTACTCTTGAGTCCATGGACTCACTTGTAGTGGGGATGATCTAACACAGGCCTCCTCATTCTGTTACATTTAAGAGGGAGGATGTATCCTGGGTCTGTTGCTGGCCATAGTGATGACCGCCACAGATGGGATGGGGATCCCCCCCTAGGGGCAGTCAGTCTCCCAAAATCCCCATTGCCCACAATCGGAACATGGCTCTGTGGGAAATCATGTGACCACTGCTCATATATTCAGCAATCTGCCTGATACATTCCTGCTTGTCAGCAGTGAGGGTGGAGAATAGAATGGGATACAGGTCCTGCCAAGTTAAGTGATAGGACTGTGTCAGCAGAGGAATTCTTGATGGTATTTGGAGGGATTTTTCAGAGAATGAGCCTAGATGTTTTTCAGTTTAGCTAAGATCTGACAGGGAGAAGTGGGCATAAACTCTTACTGGGCCTTCCACTCCAACCATCTCTCCTAGGGGAAGGACAGTTGGGCTTGTAAGATTCGAGAGTGAGTGTGAGGAGAAGGGAGAGAGTCGGATGAGGAGGTTGCTGCTGTGTTAAGGGGAGGCTTGGAGGGCAGATATTCAGGGGTGCCAGGGGGAAGATATGGTGGAGGTTCATCAGCAGGGTCAGGGCAGAGAGAAGATCAGGGTGAGGGGGGATGATGTAGTAGGCTTAGAGAGAGGATCTCGTTCCATTAGAACTTGGAAGGTGGAGCAAAAGAAAGAAAGAAGGGAAACCTCAGGGGAGAAAGAAAGCTGAACGTAAGGAACCTCTGACCATTTGCCTTTTCTCTAGAAAACTGTCAAGATTAGGAAAATCTGGAAATCTAAAGTGCCAAATGCAGCCAATGAGACATGCTATTTTATATTGTGGCCAGATTATGGTGCAGAAAGGCACAAATTTGGGGGGGGGGGTATTTTTCCTTGAATCCCAAGACTGAGAGGTTTTATAAAAAGCATGCCAAGGGTGACTCAGGAGAAATGCAAAAATAAAAAAATTGGAACCCATGGAGCTGTCAAAAGATGGCCGGGGTTTGGTACTCATTTACAGGGAATCCCACAGACAAGAGTTAGCTACAACTGGAATCTTCTCACAGGAGAGATGAGAGGATCCCAATGTTTAGGCCAGGTATCCCCAATCCAGGATGTGTGGGATAATTTTCCCCAAATCAGATGCACCAAGGGCAGAAAAAAGAGGGGGAATAATCAGTCCTGCCTGGTCTGCCTCATGTTGCTTGGGGGGACAAAGGGCAACTTCTTACCAGTACGTGAGTTAGAAATTAAGTTTCATGTTGCGTGCATTAGAGATGCGACAAGAGGCTTCTGGTTGGAGTTCATGAAAGGAAGGATGAGAGTGTAAGGGCAGGTGAGGAGGAAAGGGCAGAGTTGGAAAAGGGAATAGAGGGTAAGAGATCTTGGGTAGGAGTTCAGCTATGCTGGGAAGAGTGTAACTGGGGGCCTCCCCCAGGGATGAAGGGCACCATGAAAGCCAGACCACCATGGTCACCTCGTGGTCCTCCAAGTTTGCTGTAGAAAGGAAGGAAAATCAAGAGGTGAGAGAGAGTCACAGTTACCATCCAGAAGACACCAGAGTTCTTATTCAGAACTTTATTCAGAATTCTTATTCACAAACCTCAGAAGGACTTTCTATTGGCAAGGATAGAGAGTTCTGGGCATATAGTCAGTTACTTCATCCTCTTAACTGGTTCTGGGTGGGAGGTCATTAGGTGGAGTTGAGATGATTTTCTGTAGGCTCTAGGGCTTCTGGGTGGGGTTGCATTAATTGCTGACTCATGCTTCCATTATAGGGAGCTTCCTAAGATGGTGATGTTGCTGTAAGATGGTGGTATTCATGTTCATGATCCATCAATCTTCTTCTGTCTTTGTCTATTTCTTTGCCTCTTTACAAAATAAATAAATAAAAATTTTAGGAAAATAATAAACTAAAGTATCTGAATGCATGGATATATTCCTTCAGCTAACTACAACCCCCAAAACTGTTTTTACAGAATACTTAGGAGGGGCCAGCACTGTGGCTCAGTGAGATAAAGCTATGGTCTGCAGCTTCGGCATCTCACACAGGTACTGGTTCGAATGTGTCCCAGCTGCTCCACTTCTGATCCAGCTCCCTGGGAAAGCAACAGAGGATGGCCAAAGTGCTTGGGCCCCTGTATCCAGGTGGGAGACCCAGTGGAAGATTTTGGCTCCTGGCTTCAGCCTGGCCCAACCCTAGCAGTTGCAGCCATTTGAGGAGTGAACTACACATGGAAGATTGTTCTTTCTGTCTCTCCTGTCTCTCTGCAGCTCTACCTTTCAAATAAATAATAAATCTTTTTTAAAAAAGAGTACTTAGGATATATTTCTGGAATTTTGTTGATCTAGACATTGTTCTACTGTAAATGACAACTTGAAAGCAGAACTACTAACATCCACTGACAAGTGTAGTGCAATGTTGTTTGCAGAATCTGTACTAATGTAAAAACCCTACTTGATCTTTGTCCTTCTTTTCTGAAAACAAATTTGCTGATATACTAGTATACTGCAAATGAGACCCCTGTCCATTCCCAAGGACAGCCACCATAGATAGTTCTCAGCAAATACTGTGAAATACTAGATTGCCTAGTAATATTGCCTTTCTTCTTTCTTTCTTTCTTTCTTTCTTTCTTTCTTTCTTTCTTTCTTTCTTTCTTTCTTTCTTTCTTTCCTTCCTTCCTTCCTTCCTTCCTTCCTTCCTTCCTTCCTTCCTTCCTTCCTTCCTTCCTCTCTCCCTCCCTCCCTTCCTCCCTTCCTCCCTTCCTCCCTTCCTTTCTTTCTTTGATGATAGTTTGATAGACTGCCTCAATTCAGAAACACACAAGAAATGTAAGTCCTACCACACACTGTAGAAGCAACTCTTACTTTCTGTGCAAAACCTTTGAAGCCAAATGTGTAACAGCATATACAACAGATTATTGTTAGATCACTATTGGATGCATATCAATTTTTTATTTTATTTATTTATTTGAGAGGCAGAGTTACAGACAAGGAGAGACAGAGAAAGGTCTTCCATCCATTAGCTCACTCCCCAGTGGCTACAATGGTTGGAGCTGCGCCGAAGCAAAGCCAGGAGCCAGGTGCTTCTTCCCAGTCTCCTGCATGGGTGCAGGAACCCAAGTACTTGGGCCATCTTCCATTGCTTTCCCAGGCCACAGCAGAGAGCTGGATTGGAAGAGGAGCAGCCGGGACTAGAACCAGTGCCCATATGGGATGCCGGCACTGCAGGCGGAAGATTAACTTACTGTGCCACAGCGCTGGCCCCTTCATATCAGTTTATTAGTGAGTTCTCAAAAATTATGGCAGAAACAAAACCCAATAAAATGACAAATAGAGTGAGCACTAAAACAACATTTTCTAAAGAATCAAAACCTTGCTTTGAAATGCTATGTTGAAATCATCTGTCTCCATCTAGATCACCAAAGAAGGCAATTGGAGCACAAAATGGGGAGATATGGGCATTCTTCAGTCTGATGAAATACTTTCTTTGAGACTTGTTAAATCAATTTTTTCTAGGGTTCAGTGTGTCCATGTAAAATTATTCAGTAGACTGCATGATTTCCAAATCCTTCCCATTGTATGAAACAATAAATGAGGTATAGCAGTGCTGTGCCAGTAGAAAAAGAAGACTAAATTGAAACTTGGTATGGGTTGATTTAGCAGTTCACCGCAAGCGAAGAGTTTCAAACATCTAAGCTTCAGCTTTTCAAACATTCTATCATAAATAATAATTACACCTAAATTGACATATAGCTTAACTCAAAGTTGGTCACGGGGGCCAGTGCTGTGGCTCAGCAGGTTAAAGCCTTGGCCTGAAGCACCGACATCCCATATGGGTGCTGGTTCTAGTCCTGGCTGCTCCTTTTCTGGTCCAGCTCTCTGCTATGACCTGGGAAGGCAGTGAAGGATGGCCCAAGTCCTTGGGCCCCTGCACCCGCATGGGAGACCCAGAAGAAGCTTCTAGCTCCTGTCTTCGAATCTGCGCAGCTCTGGCCATTGCTGTCATCTAGGGAGTGAACCAACAGATGGAAGACCTCTCTCTCTGTCTACCTCTCTCTGTAACTCTGTCTTTCAAATACATAAAAAAATCTTAAAAAAAATAAAATAAAGATGGTCACTATTTTAAAAGCTCTTGCATACATGAAATTTGTACCTTTACATAAAGAAAAGAGAAAAAATTGTTAAAAATCACATATATTGCTCTTTTAAAAATCTGTTTTAAAGATTAATTAAGGGCTTTATATCTGTTTGTTCATTGGTCATCAAATCATTTATCATCTGATGTCACTAATGATTCCTGCTGCACATTTATCTCCATCAAGTGAACCATTTTTGACTTGTTCACATTTCTTAGAAATAGGACTCATAGTATGTGAGCCTTGGGGCATCTTAATAAAGTGTCAAGACCTATTCACACCCCATTACTAAAGACATATTGGAAAAGCAAGACCTTTACTCAGAAAATTGTCACTAAGACTATCACAACTGTGTTAAAGAGGAAACGAAATCTATCTGAGTAAAGATATTTTTATGCGGAATTTAAACCAAACTTAAACGAAAACTTAAATGCAAAACTAACTAGATAGTAATGAACAAGGTCATTTGAGATTGGATCAAAACATTTGTGGAAAAATGGAGTTAAAAGGTAACTTTATTTATTTATTTATTTATTGACAGGCAGAGTGGACAGTGAGAGAGAGAGAGACAGAGAGAAAGGTCTTCCTTTGCCACTGGTTCACCCTCCAATGGCCGCCGCGGCCGGCGCACTGCAGCCGGCACACTGCGCTGATCCAAAGGCAGGGGCCAGGTGCTTCTCCTGGTCTCCCATGGGGTGCAGGGCCCAAGCACTTGGGGCATCCTCCACTGCACTCCCGGTCCATAGCAGAGAGCTGGCCTGGAAGAGGGGCAACCGGGACAGAATCCAGCGCCCCGACCGGGACTAGAACCGGTGTGCCGGTGCTGCTAGGCGGGGGATTAGTCTGTTGAGCTGCAGCGCCGGCCTTAAAAGGTAACTTTATTTCAGTGCAAAAAAATTTTAGAAATCCACACATAGGTTTATCACCAAACACATTTTTGCATTTGTCATGAGCATGTTGAATGGCCCTGACAGAGTTATGAGACTTTTCTTCAAATTATCTTAACTATTAACAAAATAATTTAATTTGAATGAGTATGATCTTATATGAGGATAAAAACTGCATCAAACTACTTTCTAGGCCCTATTAACATTAAGGAATTAAAGAAAGGAAAGAGATTTTTGTTTTATAGAAATCAGCTCTAGTTATGCTCAGGAGAACACTATAAATAATATTACTCACCTTTATCATACTTTGTTATGCCTTTGCTCAGCCCAATGTGTGCATCTTTAAAGCAATATAATGCTTCAGTCATCTCAATTCCCTAGTTACAACAGGTAACCCCTGAGGGAATTGTGATCAAAGCATTCTGAACCTTCGCAGAGAACGTCAGGACGAGAAGAACATTCCAGCCCACACTAGAAATGATATATTTTTTCATTCTAATTGGTCACTATATTTATTTCAACAGGCCTTTTAATAGTCACTCTGTTTTAATTGAAAAGGCATCTCAGGGGCCAGTGCTGTGGTGTAGCAGTTAAGCCACCACCTGCAGTGCTCACATCCCAAATGGGCGCCGGTTCAAGTTCTGGCTACTCTACTTCCGATCCAGTTCTCTGCTATGGCCTGGGATAGCAGTAGAAGATGGCCCAAGTCCTTAGGCCCCTGCACCCATGTAGGAGACCCGGAAGAAGCTCCAGACTACTGGTTTTGGATCAACTCAGCTCTAGTCATCGTGCCTATTTGGAGGTGAACCAGTGGATGGAAGACCTCTCTCTCTATCTCTCTCTCTGCCTCTCCTTCTCTGTGTGTGTAACTCTTTCAAATAAATAAATTAATTAAAAAAATAAAGAAAAGGCACCTCATTTCCTTACCACATGCTCTATTAAAATGAAGTATATAGTGAATATTAAGTTCCTCTTGGAAGAAATAAATCATAAATGATACATGGCTTTTTGGGGGGCATCAGAATCAAACCACAGTGAAATTCCATTGTGTTGATATTCCTTGTGCTACATGTACTTATCATCAAAACACATTTATAAACCCCAGCAATGAAGGTTCAGGTGGAAACCATGTCAGTGTTTTCAAAATTTTGGCTGAGAGAAATCCCAGTTAAAATAAAATTCCCTAAATATATTTTAAACTGTCAGAGCTATAATTTGTGATACTGATTTAGGAAAAAAAAAACCTTATTGGTAGTATTTCTTAAAAAGCAAAACACAATGAAAAGTTAGGTTGCAGTTCGTTGCCCAGAGACTGGAGATCTAGTGGTATCCTTGGGCCACATATTGTTTAAAGTAACACCAGGAAAAGGCAGCATTCTGTGCCTTGAATCTCCTCCCATGAAACAGGAAGCACAGTACCTGACTGGCCTTTCTGGGTTTGGGAAGCAGCAGCTTCTGTTACAGAAGGCTGAGATAAGTGGTTCTTGTTTTCAAGGAGTAAGGAATTTGGATGTGAGATAGACTGTAGTGGTAAGACAGGTAATGAGATTTAATTGAGGTTTACGGGGGAGGGCATCTGTCAGGACAGATGTGCACCTCTCAGATGGATCTGAGAGAGAGTGTCCGGCCATTCAGATCAGCGCAAGCACGGTTACCAAGTTTAATGAAGAGGACACAGCTGACAGGCAGGCTGGCATCTCAGCAATGATCCAAGAGCTGAGAGTTCAGAGTGGCAGTCTGTATTTAGAGTAAGACTTACAGGGAACTGGGGTCCAGGTCTTCCTGCTGGGTTTCTCCCTGCCGCCTCCTGCACCTGGACAAACGGTTTACTGGATGTGGAATAGGTTAAATTCCTCTCAAGATTTTATTACCTAAGGTTATCACACAGGGCAGCCCTCTTGGCACCAGGCAGGGATAAAGAGGATTTTCCTAGGATGCTTTCCCGAGGCAGGGAGGCCGGTACCACTTACAAAGTTATCGGAGCATGGGTAGGTATTTGTAGTGTAAAACACTTGGTGGCTTGCAGGGGTGTCCCATGCTTCTAGCTGCTACGTTGCTATCCACAACTGAATTGTTTGCCTTAGGCCCTTTCACACACATAGGCTAATTTCTATCCTCCTACCTAGGACTTCTATGCCTGTGTATGCAGCTCTGGCCAGTGAATGATCAAGCCTGCTCTTTTGCTGACCCGTGGTAACTATAGGTGTATGTGTGCAGCAACACAGGACTTGGAAGGGAGTGAGCCTTCACCACACCAGCCAAGCAACCAAGACCTGCTGTGTTAGAACAAGGGAAATTCATGAGCTGAGTACCAAGGCTATTTCATAATTAACTGCTCTCACAAGAAGATAGGGAATGAAGTTGCCCCCAACCTGTGCAGCACAGGAGTGCACTTTGGGGGCAATGAGAATGCATGTCTCATACTCAGCTTTAGGAACCATAGCAGGCCAAGTTCAGGACTTCTGTGCTTGTTCCAGTGAGGGCCAGCCTTGCTGCAACAGAGTGCTGTGACATGCCTGGCTGGGAGGTACAGGGTTCTTGACTGACTTGTTGAGTTTCCTTAACATTGCACTGAAGCACAAGGTGGATCCCCACTAAAACCTCTCCCTCCCTCTCCGCTTCACTCAGGGCTAAGTCTCCTCTGGACATCCCTGGTTCACTCAGCTTCTGCTTATTTTCACTCATAGACATTTCCCCTAACGTTTGCTGCAAGGCTCTTCCTGGCTCAATGTGTGCCTCTCAGACATTCCAGACTAACGCTTTTTGCCAGCTTTATGGAGGTATGAATGACACATAGGGGCCAGCGCTGTGGCTCAGTGGGTTAAAGCCCTGGTCTGAAGCACCAGCATCCCATATGGATGCTGGTTCTAGTCCCAGCTGCTCCTCTTCCGATCGCTCTCTGCTGTGGCCTGGGAAAGCAGTAGAAGATGGCCCAAGTCTTTGGGCCCCTGCATCCACCTGGGAGACCTGGAGGAAGCTCCTGGCTCCTGGCTTAGGATCGGCACAGCTCCGGCCGTTGCAGGCATCTGGTGAGTGAACCAGTGGATGGAAGACCTCTCTCTCTGTCTCTACCTCTCTCTTCAGCTCTGTCTTTCAAATAAATGAAATAAATCTTTAAAAAAAATGACACACAATGACCAGCACATGTTTGAAGTGGTGTACTATTTGTTACATTTTAACATATGTGTACATCATTGATGCCATCACCTCCATCTAAATAATGTACCTAATGCCATCAAAACTCTCTTCCTTTTTTTATAACCTCCTTCCCTAGGACTGAACTACTTTCTGTCACTTTGTATAGCTTACATTTTTCTAGCTTACATTTTTATATTTCATGTAAATAAGGGCTGGTATTGTTGCACAGTGGGTTAAACTGCAACTTGCATCACCAGCATCCCATACCCAAAAGCTAGTTCGAGTTCCAGCTCCCCTATATTTCTAATCTAGCTCCCTGGGAACATGCCTGGGAAAGCAGCAGTGATACACAAGGAGCTGGGCCCCTGCTACCCACGTAGGACACCAGGATGGAAATCCTGGCTCCTGGCTTCAGCCTGGCCCAACGCTGACCACTGTGGCCCTTTGATGAATGAGTCAGCAGACAGAAGATCTGGCTCTCCCTCCTTATCTCTCCCTCTCTGTCACTCGCCCCTTCACATGAATAAATCTTATTTTTACAAATGAATATCATATAGATAGAATTACATTCAGCCTTCTATATCCTTGGGCTCTCCATCAACAGATTTAACCAATCATGAAATGAAAATATATGAAAAACAGATGGGCATACCATACAGCTGCTAGGATGCCGCTTGAGATGCGTGCATCCCACATGGGAGTGCCTGAGTTCAACTCTCGGTTCTGCTCCCACTTCCAGCTTTTTGCTAATGTGCACTATAGCAAGCAATAGGTGAGGTTGAAGTGATTGGGTTCCTACCTTCATGTGGAAGACCCAGATTGGGTTCTTGGCTCTTGGTTTTGGTGTGATCCAGTCCTGGCTATTGCAAGCATTAAAGAAAGCAAAAACAAAAACAAAAACAAAAACAAAACAAAAAAAAAACCACCCTTATAAAAAGAAAATATTTGAAAAAATTAGCTTAAAAAGCAAAACTTGAATTTGATGCTCAGAGAGCATTTTGCTAAATCCACAAAAATGAAATGATGTGCAGATGCAGGTGCTGTAGCCTCCTGCCAGTTCTTCACAGATCTTCAGTCTCTCTCCAAAGCTCTTGTTTGAGCACTGTTCACCTATGTCCTGATCATCTACTACGTACTTAGGGCTATGAGGTTTGTGTTTATGCTGAATACCCACTAACTTCTTCTTTATTGTTATTGTTTCCTTGACAATATAGTATATCAATTATTTACACTGTATTGGTCTTATAAGTTACCTAGACAAATCTTAAAATATGCAGAGGGGGGGATCCGAAGAGTGGCCGGGCCGGCCGAGCCCTCGGGCCGCGGACGCCAGGTCTGTTAGAGCGATGGGCCGCCGAGACTGAGCTGCCGCCATGATCGGAGGCTTATTCATCTATAATCACAAGGGGGAGGTGCTCATCTCCCGGGTCTACCGAGATGACATAGGGAGGAATGCAGTGGACGCCTTCCGGGTCAATGTTATCCATGCCCGGCAGCAGGTGCGCAGCCCCGTCACCAACATTGCTCGCACCAGCTTCTTCCATGTTAAGTGGTCCAACATCTGGCTGGCCGCTGTCACCAAGCAGAATGTCAACGCTGCCATGGTCTTCGAATTCCTCTATAAGATGTGTGACGTAATGGCTGCCTACTTTGCCAAGATCAGCGAAGAAAACATCAAGAACAATTTTGTGCTCATATACGAGATGCTAGATGAGATCCTGGACTTTGGCTACCCACAGAACTCTGAGACAGGCGCTCTGAAAACCTTCATCACCCAGCAGGGCATCAAGAGTCAGCATCAGACAAAAGAAGAACAGTCCCAGATCACCAGACAGGTGACTGGGCAGATCGGCTGGCGGCGAGAAGGCATCACGTATCGCCGGAATGAGCTCTTCTTGGATGTGCTGGAGAGTGTGAACCTACTGATGTCCCCACAGGGGCAGGTGCTGAGTGCCCATGTGTCCGGCCGGGTGGTGATGAAGAGCTACCTGAGTGGCATGCCCGAGTGCAAGTTTGGGATGAATGACAAGATTGTAATTGAAAAGCAAGGCAGAGGCACAGCTGATGAAACAAGCAAGAGCGGGAAGCAATCAATTGCCATTGATGACTGCACCTTCCACCAGTGTGTGCGACTCAGCAAGTTTGACTCTGAACGCAGCATCAGCTTCATCCCACCAGATGGAGAGTTTGAGCTCATGAGGTATCGCACCACCAAGGACATCATCCTTCCTTTCCGGGTGATTCCGCTGGTACGGGAAGTGGGACGCACCAAACTGGAG